TGAGGTCTCCAGCAGCTTCTCTTCTCCAGGCTGAACAGCCCCAACTTTCTCAGCCTGTCTTTGTATGGGAGATGCTCCAGCCCCTCATCATCCTCTTGGCCCTCTTCTGGTTTTCTACAGAAGTCCAGCTCTGGATGGTAATGGCAAACAAAACTTGCTCCTGTCATTGCCACCACACCATGGGCACAGGGGTCACCTACCTGGCAGCACGTTACACCCCAATAAACGCTGTGGGGAGACACACGGGCTGCTGGGTGCAACCAGCTAATGTGGAGGTAACCCACAGGCACTAAGGCAGTGGCCATGACCAGAGGGAACCCTACTGAAAAGCAGAGCACTCTCTTCAGTTATAAGCAACCTGCTCTAGTGGAAGGTGTCCCTGCCCGTGGCAGGGGTTGGAGCTGGATGAGCTTTAATTTCCCTTCCAACCCAAACCGTTCCAGGACCTATGATTCCGTGCACACGAGCTGAATTACCTGCTTGATCGTGAAGTCGTTGATAAGGTGGTGGTTATGTTCATTAAGGTTACAGTGCAACGAGACACAGTCGCTCTGATAGAGCAGGTCCTGCAGCGTGTAGACCCTCTGGACCCCCAGGGACCTCTCAATCCCATCCTGCAGGTACGGGTCATAAAAGATGACGTTGAAGCCGAACGCCTTGGCTCGGACCGCGACCGCCTGCGCCGTGCGACCTGTGCGTGAAGGAAGGAAAGAGAGGGGCTCATTTCACCCGTTCCCACCTCCCCTTTGAGCTCCTGACACCCCAGTGCGGCCCCAGGGCTGCTGTGGGACCCCCTGGGCTCCCCAGACAGAGGAACAATCCTCTGTGGTGCTGCATCTACCAAGAAAAGCTGAGAAAGGGAAGGCAAAAAGCGCCACCTTTTCTTTCAGGCAGCTTCTTTGGGATGGGAGGTTTCCAGCCTCTGGCTGGTTAATTGGCCATGACAGAGACAACTGTCGTGGCTCGGAAGCAAAGGGCTATGTGGATGCTGGGCTGCGGGAGGGCTGCAGCAGTGCTGGACCCCTCCACAGGCTGTGCAGTCTCCGTGTGCCCCATGTGCCGAGCCCCAGTGATTTAGCTGTTCGCTTTTCCAGCTTGGAGCAGCGCAGGAGCCCAGCACGAGCCTGGTTTGGGTGCGCAGCGATATCCCCCCCATGCACACACACATCTGATGCCATACCAGTGCCCCAGAGCTGCACTGTTGACCGGGGACATCAGCTGGGTGCCTGCATGGGCATCCAGATGTGAGCACACAGCTGGGCACACACTGCCCTCCTCACCCTGCCAGACTAACCCCGATCTCCTGCTCTAACCTCACCAAATCTCCTCTGCTCTGTTTTGTGTGCATCTGGCCACCAAGTGCTGGGTGAGCTGCTGATGCTGCCTCAACACACCTTCTGAACCATCTTGTGATGGTTGGACTTGGCTCCCAAAAGGGATACCCAGGAGGGCTGGCAGCAGAAGTACGGATCCCACCTCAGATGCTGAAACTCTCTATAGCTATGGATGAACTGAAGACAAACACTGTTTTACTCCAGAATGGCTCAGAAGAGCCAGACTGGTGGAGCTGTGGTTTAGGGATGGGGTTTTGAGGAGAGGATGGCAGCATTACCGACTGTGGTCCCTCTTGGTCTCAGTGAAGGCTCACAAAATGCAGCTCCTTCCCTCCCAAATCAATATAAGATGTTCTCCCTCCTTCACACCAATGGTTCTGGTTTGGAAAACGCTCATTTTAGGTCCTTCAAAGGGCAGTGAATTGGTGCCGAGCCCTCCTCAGCGGATGAGCCCTGTGCGGGCACTGCTCCGTGTGCCGCCCTTCGCCAACGTACCGAAGCCGATGAGGCCGAGCGTCTCCCCCCGGATGCGGGCGGCTCCGGAGGCCACCTCCCGGATCTGCTCCACGCTCTGCACCCTCGTGCCTTCCCGCAGCGCCTGGTAGAGCCACGTGTTGCGGCGGTACAGGTTGAGGACGTGGCAGATGGTGGAGTCGGCCGTCTCCTCCACGGCGGCCGAGGGGATGTTGCAGACGGCGATCCCTGCGGAGGCAACGCCGCAGAGCACACCGTGGGTCAGGGACCAAAGTAAATGGAGGGCTCCAGCCCTTCGCCCTCACGTCACCCAAGCACATCATCACTGCTTAAAGCATTTGGAGTAGTGTTTGCTAAGGATGTGAATGGTTCAGGTGCAAAACACACCGTGACCAGTAATGCTGAGGGGTCCCCTATGCCCTGGTGTCTCTTTGGAGGGAGGACAAGCACAGATTTCAAGTGCAATAGTGACACAGGAGTAAGTCCAGCAGCAAAGGTCTTACTTAAGTTTAACCTAGTTAAGTTACTTAAGTTTAACCTACCATCCAAGTGACTTGAATTTCACTGGCAGAAATCACTCCTTTTCCAGAACAAGACTGTCCAACCATCAAGTTATTTAGGGACCAAGATCTGGTGCACCAGGTCGGTAGCAGGGCCAGCTTCTCTTTCCACTAACAAGCACCAAACCAGTCAAAACACCCCATGGTAAGGCATGGATTGACCACACCACCATGGCATGTACACCATCATTAGTTCCTTTGCCACAAAAGGTTTATCTTAAACTGCTCTGTCCCTGCTTGGAGCTGTAAGTATTAAGTTCATTGAAAATGTCTCCCTGATCACAGCCCTTTCCAGGTGCTGGCTGGGTAATGTGGATAAAGATGTGCTTAGTGTCATGCCTATTCAGCAGAGCAGTTAAGCACATGCTTATACCCCACCAGATTCAATGTGATTTACACATGCATTTGAAGGTGGATGTGTGCTGTACCGGACCGAGGCCTTTGAGTAGAAACCATGAGAAAGTAGGAGATAAAGAGAGAGTAAGAAAATCCCCTTCCACTGTGAAGGGCACTGATTCAAAATCCCACCCCCCTCCCAGTACCCCTGCTCCCAGGAGCTGCTCTGCTGTTTTTCACAGAATCCCAGACTGGTTTGTGTTGAAGGGACCTTAAAGCTCATCCAGCTCCAACCCCTGCCACGGGCAGGGACACCTCCCACTAGAGCAGGTTGCTCCAAGCCCCTGTGTCCAGCCTGGCCTTGAACACTGCCAGGGATGGGGCAGCCACAGCTTCTCTGGGCACCCTGTGCCAGCGCCTCAGCACCCGCACAGGGAAGAGCTTCTGCCTCAGAGCTCATCTCAATCTCCCCTCTGGCAGGTCCAAGCCATTCCCCTTGTGCTGTCCCTACATTCCTTTGTACAACTATTTTCCACCCTGTAGCAGGTTGGAAGACTTACGGAAACTGGGAGAAAAACTAATTGATGTTACAGGGTGAAAAGACCCACCACTGACCAACACTGTTCACCTCCCAGCCCTTTCAGAGTATGGGGGCACAAGGCTTTGGTCCCCATGAGCTCTTAAAGCTGATGTTGTCTTATTTTATATTCCTTATTTCTTCCACAGAGAGGACCTTTTGATCTAGTTTGGGAATGTGGGTGCAGCCAGAAGCCATCTGACCGCCTGCCCAGGTCCCCAGTGGAGGGGATCGAGGGCTTCCCAAGAAGACCACACGTTTAAGTATCAGGCGACTGCTCCTGCCCATTTGTAGGCAGAGGCTGTAGCTGCTCATGGGGGAAGAGAAGAGACAAGAAGGGTGGAGGGTGGTGGGTGGCTCTCCATCATCCTGCAACTCCTCCAAGGGTCCCACCACCAACCCTGCTGGCACTTGTCCCTTTTCTGAGGGACCACTTGCTTACGGAGCTGGATGACATCAAGCTGCCTTTCCATGAGCCTCTTATGCTCATATTTACTCTTGTGCCCACGGGAGCTGCTGGTACCAGGGGATAAATACCCACAGTGGATGGTTCAGCACGAGCATCTTGCTCTGGGGGGTGTTTTACAGTGGGTCAAAGCCATTCCCACCAGCAGTGTTTAGACCCTGGTCATTTACTGACTGCACACTTTAAAAACTACCTTATCGAAAGCAAACCCAATTAAACTTTACGCTACATTTGTGGGCAGTCATGACATTTTCTACTCCAAACCACATCATTTGGCCACCCAATTTGCCAAGTATAAAAAGAAGGATTATACCGCAGTATCCCATTACTTTATTCGTTATATTTTTCCTTTCTTGGTGCTCAAAGCCTCAGAACATTGTTATAATGGATAATAACAATAAGAGCTTAAAACATGAAGAAACCATTATGTTGGGAGGATACTGTTCTCCTCTTGAAAAAGAAAATAATTCAGTATATTGAGAATTGCTTTTTTAGGAATGACTATCTGAAACTCTTATCACAATTATCTCTGTGAAACGGCTCACGTGAGATGGTTGTTATTCCTCACTTCCTCAGAGATAACCTTTAATACAAGACATCCTAAACACTATTGTGCTTGATTGATAGACTGAATCTCGAGATGATCAAAACCAGTTGGAACTCAGCTGCTAAAATCATGGCTACAGTAAAGCTCTTGTAGCTGGGGGTGTGCAGCCAAAGGACTCTGTGACCAGCCAAACCAGTACGGAAACTGGGTGGCCCCAGCACAATCTGTGCATGTATTCCCCAAACCCAGGCATGGTGAAATACCCCGTAGCCGGACACAGGGGCTCCTTCCTGACAGTGTGAGCCCATGTAACGTGTACCCACAGTAAAGGTCTTTTTCAAGTTCCTGAGGCACCTTCAATGAGATGGCAAAGGAGGCAGCAACAACCCAATGCACAATTCCTGCTCTGCCATCCGACATGCTGCCTTCCCAGAGGTGTGGGCATGACAAGAAACCTGGAGAGGGGCTTTGGACAAGGGATGTAGGGACAGGACAAGGGGAATGGCTTTAACCTGCCAGAGGGGAGGTTGAGATGAGCTCTGAGGCAGAAGCTCTTCCCTGTGAGGGTGCTGAGGCGCTGGCACAGGGTGCCCAGAGAAGCTGTGGCTGCCCCATCCCTGGCAGTGTTCAAGGGCAGGTTGGACACAGGGGCTTGGAGCAACCTGCTCCAGTGGAAGGTGTCCCTGCCCGTGGCAGGGGTTGGAGCTGGATGAGCTTTAAGGTCCCTTCAACACAAACCAGGCTGGGGTTCTGTGATTCTATGACTCCAAGAAACAGCTCAGAACAAGAGACTAATCTTAGGCAAGAAAACACACAAAACCACCCTTCCTCCAAGTTTCCTAAAGCTAGAGCAACACTCCTGTGCCAGAAGTGAAACAGCCATACAAGTATGTGATGGTACAAGCAGGCACCTCGAAGTAGTGACAGCACAGGACCGAGGGACTGAGATGGAACAGTTTTAACACAGCATGAGCCTGAAAGCTGCCCTCTAAAACTGCCCCACTCTGTTTACCTCATGGTCAACTCTTCTTGTCATGATATTCTCTCCATACAAAAGAATCTAAACTGCACGTGTAATTTTAGGGACTGAATCAACCCCCTTTGGGACGTCCTGCCTGTACCTCCGCTTTGCCACCACGGTCCCATGGGAAGCAGCAGGTACCTGTGCTGATTTTAAACGCTCAGAGGGACATGGGAGGGAATTGGGGTGCAGAGCTGAGACCTACCAAGCTCCCCTGCAGCTTTGATGTCAATGTTGTCGTAGCCGCTGCCTATTCGGACGATGACCCGTAAGGCCTTGAACTTCTCTAGGTCTTCTCGAGTCAGCGTGATGGTGTGGTACATCATCGCCCCGACGGCTTCGTTTAACACCTGCAACAGAACAGAGGTGTCAGGAGCCACCAGGACACCTGGGGGGACACCTGCAGCTCCCGAATCAGGGATATTACACAGTAAATGGTACATTTTTACTGCTGACTTACTCCTGTCCGACCCAGGCTGTCACCAAAACCATCAGGGCTGTGACGCACCAACACTGAGGCCATTCCCTTTGGGAACGGACTGGATGGGTATCTGAAAATGATGCTGTTACATCTGAGGAGACAAGACAGAGGAAAACCGAGCCTGTCACTCACCTGGACCCTTTTCCAGGTTGTTATCTGATAATGCCTCTGCTCCCAACAGCAGTAATTCTGCTTTTAAAAAGGAATTAGGGTTTATGGCAGTATCTATCGGTTTTGAACGTGACTTGTAACTCCTCGGCCTTCTTTTGCATGCTGTTAGTTCAAATCCCTGTCACACTGTTCACATTAACCTTTTCTGTGGGTTTTCAAGAGTACCTAAAAAGATCCACATGAGGTTGTGCCATCACATAAGGCTGCACTTCATCCCCTTCAGTGAAGATTCAAACCATCATTAGTGCTCACCATAAGCTATCTCAGTGCTCCGTAACCCAAAGACCTATCCAAATTCTCTAAGACAGGCTCATCTATCATCTGTCAGCATCCCACGAAAACCTCCCTCCTCATTCCCCCTCATTTAATATCTGAAGCACTGCGAAGATCAGCACTGCTGCTATTTGTAGTTCTCTTTCCCAGATCCTGGAAGTGATTTCTGATCACTTCAAACCTCATTTGAGTTCTCTAAATGTGCGCTAAGAATATGTTTTAAAGAAATGTTTACAAGTGGTCGAGCTTCCAAGCAGAAACACCCATCCACACTGCATGGATCTGCCTGTGTGATGCCCAAACATCACCCGTTCCCCAAAGGGGAGAAATGAGGTGCTGGAGGTGCACCCAAAGAGACCCATCAGCTGCAATGTGGGATGGTGTCAGCAAAGCCAGGGCAATCACGCTGCACCCTGGGGAGGTGCAGAGCGATGTTATTGCTGCACTGAGCAAGTAGCCTTCAAAATACATGGGAAACATCCATGTTATTGATGTAAAGAGCCTGATGCAAAGAGATAAAGTGACTATTTTTCCCCAAATAACATCTGGCTTCTAAAACAACCTCGATGAACTTTAATCTGCAGCGACTTCTGCTGATGTGACCTGCTGATGGGCTCAGACAGCAGCTTTGTACCCTTTTTACTGAAGCAGAACAGGGAGAGGGAGACCAGAGCACCCGATCCCCAGCTACCACTGCAGCTCACGGTACCTTCTCGTGAATCTCCTGAGTTGATTGTGCATCACAGAAAGCAACCGTGGCCAAGTCCTTCAGAATGGGCATCTCCACCGTGCAGTCCCTGCCATCCAGCAGTGCCACCAGCGGCCGCGGGTGCATGGGGCCGTTCATGATTTGGGGGCGAATACCTGCAAGCAGAAGGAGCATGGTTTACACAGCGTCAGCAGCAGAGAGGTCTCGTGGCAGCCGTGGTTCCTGCGTGTGGTCCCCGTGCAGGGTGAGGAGCAGCAGCACTCGGTTTCAGTTTGTGCAATGAGTATCAAAGGATGATGGCAATGCAGTGCAAAGTTAGCACAGGTCCAGGTTTCTCTCTGGGGTTTAAACACAGTGAGGCTTGCTGACAGGACGGGGATGGACAACCCCATTTCAGCCACTTGGGACTCAATGGGGATGTGCCTCCACTATGCTGATCCTCACCAACGCAGGCAACGTTTCAACCAAACCACATAAGCCAGAGCTGCTGCCTCTTCAAGTGTGTTATTTCACATCTTGGGAGTGAAACCCAAGCCAGCAGTAAGTTTTTCCCTGCCTGCAGGAGGGCTGGGATTTCGTTCCGCTGGCACTTGATCTGTTTTTGTAAGGAATGACTTTACCATTTTGACCACCTCTGAAAGACAAATCCAAACAGACATCCACTAAAAAAAAGGAATTACTGGAAAATCACAGAAAGAACAGGACACCAAAGACCTCTTTAACATACAGGCTTATATTCTGTTCTATTACCAACTACCAAAAGGGTGGGAACAGCAAAGCTCAGCTTACTTTGTAAAATCAAACCAGGTCTATCCCTGCATCCCGCAGGATGCTCCGGGAGCCAGCGTGAAGGACTTGCACATACAGGATGAAATGGCTGCAGGACACTGCTCTTCTCACACTGACACACACCTCTCCACGGACTGCTCCCTTCAAACAGTTTGTACTGAGGCCTCTGTTCAGCTGTGCTGTGGTTTTGTCATTCCACACCAAGATGTTCTCCAGACAGAGGTGAGGAAAGGAACAATCACCATCAAGAACTGCAGAAGGCTGATTTTATATCCTGTCTATTGCTCTGCCTAGGATTAAACCAGTTCAGTTTTGGACAAGTCACTCAAATTCCTACTCCTCCCCTGTCCACTCAGTAAGGGCATGAATTACATTGGGACTGTACAAAATACCCCAGCTATCTTTTTTGGCTGCCCAGGTGGGTTCTGGAAGAGCACAGGAGGGGGAAGTGGGTGCTCTGTGCACAAAGTGGTGTTTTATTGCTGCTGCTGCACATGAGATGGCTGGGATTGGAGGGTTTGGATCTGAACCTCTAAATCCCCACAAAGCCACTTTCCTTTCTGACTCCCCACTTCCACACAAGGATCTTCCAGGGCTACCAGCCAACATCTTTCTCAACTTTAAGCACAGTGGTTGTGAGATGCTTCTGTTGAGGGGCTAACAGACATAGTAAATGCCTTTGCTATTCCTGGATCAGCACCTTTTCCCCTGCCACATCACAGGTATCTCTACTTACTCACAGTGAAACTGCTGGACAAGCAAGGGGTTTGGCTCAGAGAACTCCATGGAGTTGTTCTGGGGTTTTCTGGTGGGACAAGCATCTCACACAGGGTATTACAGAACAAATGCTACTGTCTGTGGTGCTGTTTGAGTAAGTCAGACTAAAGCAGAGAGCGGGATGTTCCTTCGCCAGGCCTCATGGGCAGGGCTGGGGACCGCTCCAGCCTTCTGGAGTGTGGTCAACACCCGGAACCATGTCACAGCAGCCCCGCATGCCAGAAACATGACAGCGAGGGACAGAAACTAATGAAAGGACACACACTAATGCATTTATCTTTAAAGGGAAAATTAAATGTGCTTTTTGCCCAGATTGCTGCCAGGTAAAGTATTAGCAAGATCTCCACCAGCTGATATGTATGTGACAGACAGGTACTAGAGGCCAGAGCGATGCTGACGCCAAGAGCATCTCCCCGGGGAGGATCCATGCTGCTGCGTATGAAACGCAGGGTACCACATAGTTACTTTTGGTTTATGTGGGCAAAAAATAACTCCATGGAAACAGGAGTTCAATGGAGTGGGTCTAATGCCTCTCTGCTCCTGTTTTATTGAATCTGCTTTAAGACATGATGAACCAGCCAACCTGGCAGACCTGACTGGAGATTTCCAGCATTACAAGTGAACGTCTTTGTAATAGGTCCTCCTCTCTGTCTTTCCTACCGAGCTCTCCATTAACATGTACTGGAAGTAATACATGATGTTTGCCCGTGTTTCATCCAGATGGAAGTGCAAGTGTGTCAGTAGGCAGGGTAGAGTGCTGGGATGATTTGGATAACTGAAAGAAGCTTGCCATAAGCAGATAAGCAAGAATAAAAACATGTACAAATCTCAGAGCGCTTACACAACCCTTACGTGAAGCCCTACACCACAGCTAGATTATTTTCTTAGGTTAACAAGCCAGTGAATTATAACACTGACTTAAACACTAATGTGTATGATCTCCAAGGCTTAGAGCATCACGTACCAGTCTCGCACCACAACTCTAAATACAAAGGAAGCTGATGCAGGGGCAAGGTGGCCGTGGTGGTCCCAGCCCTGACCTGGGGGCCACCATCCCCACACATCCTCTATCTGGACAAGCTGAGCTCAGTGCCCACTGGGGACCAGGATCATCTTCAAGGCAGAGCAATGGGCACACAGAGGCTGGAGGTGGCTTCCTGTGAGCGTGGCACATGGAAGATGAAACCACAGGTTATCCAAAACTCTGACCTTTAATCCGAGCCCTAAAATAACGGGTTTATTATGCTGCCATTGCATAAGCTTCTTTGAAAGTCAAACGAAACACAGCTTTTTCCTTTTTTTTGAAGCAGCATCTGTGTCTTTGCTCAGGATTAAGGATGTAATTGTGCACGATGACACAGGCTTGCGAGGCACGTCACCCTCGCCCGCACACAGAAGTGCAGTCGCCGGGGGTGAATGCTGGCTGGGAACTGCGAGGTGGTCAGAGGCATGTCTCTCATTTCTCTTACTTCAGCCAGGGAATTTACTTTGGCATCACAAGGAAAGTTGTGGAGCAAATCAATACGAGATGAAGTGCATAATGTATGGAAATGATGGTTTAATATAAAACACTTGCAGGTTTGCCACTGAACCCACACTGTATTTTCCTTGCCAGCCTCTCTCCTTGCCTCTCCACCACTCTGTGTCTATTCTTCACCATCCTGGTTCTTACCTCCTCCACATTCAACCCCAAACCATTTCAGCTGACAAAATCAAGCTGCTCTCAGTCCGCTTTCCTTTTTACCCCGCTCATGCAGCACGTTTGTTCTGCATGCGCCTGCTTCATTAAGAACGAGGTATGCCACGGATCAGAAAGTAATGAAACACCAGGCACTCCCCCCCTTAAATTCTGATCAAACATCACAGCCATTAACCCTTTCTCTCTGCAACACCACCGGGCTCGCTCCATCGAGGGGTACAACACCATGGACCAGCTCTCCTTGGAGCCGGAGTGGGATCAGCCTCCCAAATCCAGCGGCTCCCCCACCATCTGAAGCTGATTTTGCCCACAAACCCCCAGCCGTGCTCCCAAAGTTGGAGCAAGTATTGTTGTCTATTTTTCTGTAGGCATTTCCAGCCCGAGGACCCTCGCCAGCATTGCAGGGAGAGCTCGTAAGGAGGAGGGAAAGGAGGAAGGGTTTATGGAAAGAAGGCGGGGGGGGGAAAACCCCAGGAAAGGCTTTGCAGTCACACTGAGAACTCAAACTCCACCCCGGCTTGTTGCACGCAGCCCCGCCGTATAAAGTGCTTTTGTTTCATTTTTAATACACAAAGCCTGCTTGTCCTTTCCTGCCGCTCCTCCCCTTTGCCACCCACTTGTATCCGATCCCAATGGCACCCCTGCCAAGAGAATTAGGGAGTGCTCCCTGCTAAATGGCAGCCTTTGTGTGACCGCAAGACGGCTGGTACTATCTCACAGAAACAAAAGCAGAAGCCATTTGCCTAATTCTTATTAATCTCAGTTGCCTGCGCCACGCAGCATTAAGGAAATAGATGAAATAAAGAAAAAGAAAGGGAAAAAAAAAGGCTTTAAACATGTTCACTTGCAGTATATAAAAGTGAATCAAGAAGCGATCCTGACACTCGCCTGAATTACCCGCTCACGACAAAGTAGCTACAGTTTTACAGTCAACTACACACTTTATTAAACAAACAGAAAAGAAACAGGAAATTTCCCCTTGCCTGGAAAATGTTGCCTCCACATTCTTCTTCTTATTAAAAACCACACATGGCAGTGGAGGAGGAGGGAGGGAGGAGGAAGGGGGGGAACCCACACACGAGAAAATACTACCACTTTTCAGTGCGTTGCCTCTCCTTTCGTCTACGAGGGGGTATCTTCAAACAGGCAATCCCGTGGCCCACAGCTGCAACATCTCAAGACAAATGTCTCTTTGAACACGGAGGGAAAAGAAAAGGCTTTTGTCCTGAGCCACAGAAGAATAGCCTGGAATTGCGAGAGGAGTTCCAGTCACCTCTGTGCGGCTCCCAACTCTTCAGAGCACTCCCTCCAGACTTTGCTGAAGCTTTTAACTAATCGTAGTTCTTTCCCAGCCCTTGAATAAAATCATGTGAGTGCCAGCCAAAAAATCTTTTGCTATGCACACTAAAGGGTTTGTATATGTCACAGTTGCTTTTTCCCCCCTTCCACTCCCCTCCTCCTATTGACTTGCACATACGGCGGGTTGGTTTTTTTTCCCCTTCGAGTTGTCTCGAATGGATTTAATCTGTGCCACGCTGTGTTTTATGTTTGTTTGGGGTTTTTTTTGGGAGGGGGTTTGTTGGTTTTTTTTCCTTAAACTTAAAAATGAAACATGCCTTTCCATGCAGAGCATATTGAAGGAGGCTCCAGAAACAGGCTGATAGCCTTTAGCAGCAGCACCATGAAAACAAACACAAAGCACTGCGGGAAAGCAAGGCTGGGCTGATCAATCTCATCTAGCACTCTGAAACGAGGGGCCAGACTCTTTCTTGGTGTGTAAATCAACTGGTTTGCATCATCAGAAACAACGCTCACTTGCTGGCAGGGTTCATATCATTCAGTTTATCCATCCTGCTCAGTTTGTCCCAAATAGGTGAAAGCAGCCCCAAATCACTCTCATCCTAATCATGCTGCTGCAGGACATGGTGATGAGGGCAGGTCGTCCCTGTGCAATGCCCCAGCTCCAGAGCGTGCAGCAGCTCACAGCCTGGAGCCACTGGGGTTTCTTCTTTCCAGTTGCCACCATTATTGCCAGAGGCAGCAGCAGCTAGAGACAAACCTCATCCAAGAAATGAGGAAAAAAATCTGCCTCTCACTCCCATGTAATACTATTAGTGCTGCATCTTACTATTTGTCATTAGAGAGTGTGCAAGTTCATTAATAGAGGGGTCTCGGTGGCATTTGAGAGCTCAAACTGATTTTCAGCCATGGAAGCCAAAACTGGTGTATGGTGCTGGCTACAATGCTTCACCTGGGAGAAGTGCAGCCTGTGGGGAAGTCTGTTGGCAAGAAGGTTAGCCTGTGTTTCTCCGTCACGTTTTATCACCGTCCTGGTGGTTCAAACAGCATCATCACTCTCCTTTGCAAACTAGGGGGCCTGAACCACCAAGAGCTGGTCCAAGGGAAACACCCAGGAGCAGCAATTCACTGGCACACACACCCCACTAACGGACAAAGGTCCTGCTGACCCTGTCGGATGCTTCTGAATGCAGAGGAGAGTCCTGGCGTTGGAGGAGAGGGTCAGGAATAGGGAGGGCAAAGGTTTATTATCTGAAGCTGGTACTGACTTGTAACACAAACATCAAAGAACTGCCAGACTCCCAAAAATCCAGTGCCCAAGTAGAAGACAAGGGGATGTAGACACACCTTTGTCTTGAGCTTACACTGCCATTGCCTTGAGCACTCCAAATTTTCCATAACTTACTGTCCCAGCCATCACCCCTGCGTTACAATCTGGGCCCCACAGTGCCCTTCCAAGGTGGCTCAGGCATCTGCACTCCGTGGTGGCCCTGGACCACCCTCTTCATGGGCTGTAAACCAGTGTTGGTCCTGCTTCAGGAATGTGTGGAGGGGAAAACTCTGGGAAGCCACCCCTGTGGGTCACCAATAACAGAGCGGGTGGTGGTTTCAAGCTGCAGCAGTACCATTTGCAAGCAGAAAGGTGTGAGTTGTGAAGGTGCGATTGAAGAAGCGCTGAAGGAAGGTTTCTGTGAGGATAGGATGTTTTTGGAAAGCACTGATTTCCACCCTCCTTTTCTGCAGCGTACTCCCAACTGATGCTTTCTTTCACTTTTCCTATTAATAAATGCTTCTCATAATAAATGCATATGCAAAAATGAAGAAAGACAGTCTTATCATGCAGCCAGGGAAGAAAACAAACCCAAACAGACAGATATTTACTGTTATTTCTAATTGCAAATACTCTGGAGGCTCTTGGTACTGCACACAGAGAAGCCAGTACAGAAAGTGACAACAAATACAGTATTTGATAACTAATCATGGCATGATTTTTCACAGAAGCAAAGCATCTTTGAGACTGCCAGAGCCCTACCACGGTAAGGCTGTGAAATCCTCTCGTTTGGAGGAGACGTGGTGTTTGGACCCATGTCCATACCGCAGCTGGAGCTGAGAGGCTCCACACTCACACAGGGAAGGGGGACAACGGCAAAGCAGAGGCGACTTCCATCCCACTTGGAAACCCCCAGGTCCCTGTGGGAAATCACACTTCAGAGAAACTCCGGAGCTCCAGAAAGATGGGCAAAGAGGCAGCAAGGCCCATCCTGCCCCGCTGGAAAGGATAAACCTCGTACCTGCCGTCGGGAAGAGCCTGCGCAAACTCCTGACCCCTCCCGCACGTTTCCCCCCGTCAGCACACAAGAGCTGGCTTTGTGCCATTTCCCTTTCCAGATAACTTCTCAGGGCTTCCTTGAGGAATGTATTTTTAAAAATTCATGGGAAATTCCCCTATAAAACAATAC